ATAATTGTCCCCTTAAATATTTTTGGGGACATTTTTAGATTGTTACATTACTTCTAATAAAAGGCTACATTCATTCAATGTTGCATAAAATTTTAGAAACATCAAATTTTTGGTGGTAATCTTCCCTCCAAATTTATCCACTAAAAAAATATTTTCCTCTAAACATTATTAAAAAAAATTAAATATAAAAAATCATTTAACACTTAATAATACAAAAACTATATACATATCATTTAAAAAAAGTTAATAGTACATATCAACCCACTATATTTTCAGAATAATATATATATATATATATATATATATATATATATATATATATATATATATATATATATATATATATATATATATATATATATATATATATATATATATATATATATATATATATAATTGAAAAAAGAAATTGAAAAGGAAAACGTGAGGCATGTTTCAGAATAACATATATACATAAAATTGAAAAAAGAAAAAAGAAAAAAAAATTGAAAAAGGAAAACGTGAGGTTCTCCCAACTTTCTTCAAACATCCCACCGTCGATATCATCCAAAATCCATCGTCTGCTCTGATCACCACCACCAAACCAGCAACCACCTCGATGAATTTCTTAAATCTTCAACAGTTGAAGATGAAGCCTTTCGTTCTGGCATCTTACCCCTTTCCCATCGTAACCGCTCACTGTAATCCCGCTCATCGCACCACCTTCGAGTCCATCGACATCACCGTCCTTTCTTCCAACGACGACGTATTCAATTTCATCTCTTTTACTCTATTATATCTACGTTTTAATTTTATAGTTTTCTGATTTATTCTCTCTAGATCATTCGTGGGAGCGACATCGTTGTTTTCTCAGTTAAACCTCAATAAGGTATTTCTTTGATTTCAGTGTGGTTTGAGAAAGAAACTTGTAGTTTTATTGACTAGCTTTGTTGTTTTTGTTGTAGAAAAGGACGTTGTGTTGAAATTGAAGTCTCTTCTGACTAAGGAGAAGCTTTTGGTTCTGTTACTGCTAGAATCAAGTTAAAAGGTCTTTAGGTAATGAAATTCAGTCCTTGTTCACCTTCATTTCTGAATCTAGAGTCTAAACCATTAATATCATTATTAGATATGGTGTCGACGTGGTGTTTTTGATTTCCGTATTCTAGAGTTTATACATATTACATATAGTCTATTTGCTGGAAATAATTTATGACATTGTAGAGAATACAATAAGAACATGAATGCTTCATTCATTTTAGCTTATATATATTGGGAGACATATATGGATTTTGGGTAAAATTTACTCAGACTAAACTGTGATACTAGGATAATTTTAATTTTATTTTTACTCAACTGTTTTTGAGTAGAATTCATAGTAGACTCAACTGTTTTCAATGCAGCTGATTCAAATTCGTAATAGACTAACTGTAACAAGATATTGATTATATAATTTAGCATAATCAGTTGCTAATTAATATCCAAATTACATTTCAATTCTAAACAAGCCCATACAGAATCAGCAAAAAAAAAATAAACCACCGGCATAACAACTAATATACTAACATTAACGATATAAATTGCACCTAACATCTTGACAAACATGTGAAAGTCGTCGAGGTTCTTCGTCGAGCCGGATCCCTTCATTGAAGTTCTGCGAGTAACTAACAGGATCATTGAAAAGAAATTTGTTTGTGTCTACACAAGTATGACATCTATATAGCAAGGGTTGTGTTTGACATAACAGTTAAGTTATGACAGAAAGAAACTTCACTTTTATTAATTGAATGGTCAAGACAGGGTACATGTGTTTATAAATGGGTTCAATTTTTATGGTTGTGTTATACTTGAGTCAAGACAGTTAAGTTACACATGTATCCTTGTTTTTAGTGCGGTGTGCATATCGGTGTGAAATTCTTCATCTGAAAGATAAGCCTGACAAGCAAGAAATGGGAGATTAAGTAACATAGTACTATCATAAAACCAAACCATAAATTATGTTGTCATGGAGGTTGGTTTTTCTCCATTGTTTCAGGCAATCTAGATTTTGAAATACTTGGCTAATGATTTTGCATGTGACTTATATGTTAAGTTACATCAGATTGGAATGTGAAAGTGGTTAGGTGAATTGTTATTATGGTATTAGGGTTCTAAATGTTGATTGTTGTTTTGCTTTTAACAATTTGTATGTGAATCATGTAAGGTTAGACAAGTATTATAACTTATAAGTATGCATAGAATTCATCAGTAATTTCTGCACATTTTAACTATGCAGAAAGTGGATTTTCCATGGGGGAAGGTATTTGCTAGGATTTTTAAGTATTCATACATTTCCATTTGAATAGGATAAACATGATTAGTTGGTCTAGTAGGGCCATATGCTCATAGAACCCGAGCTGACCCAACTGTTAGTTGTTTCGTTAACGTGATTAAAACACAATCACTAGATTTTAGCAAATGAAAATATGTAGAGCTTAAAACGTGAGGAATGGATGAAGCATCATGCATGACTTAACCTTGTTTTGGTCTAATATATTTAATTGTTCATATGTGGAATATTGACATATATACCATGTGCCATGCATGCTATGCTTTAACAAAAGAAATGTCTTTCCAGCTCAACTCAAATAACGTATTAGTTCCTTATGAGGGGACCATTCTGTACGAATGACCTTAAAACAAGGCCATCTTTACTAGTTTTTACTTTTTGATAGTTAAAGAACAACAACTCTAGCTTTCAATTTAAACATTAAAAGAAGAAATAATCTATAAAGGTATGTTGAAGAAAAAGCATTTTGTGAGGTGTAGAAAGTTACAACTCAAAGGATTCATGTTTTCATTTTGTGAGGTGTAGAATATCAGAGTTTTTCTACGTATTTATCACAGTTAAACTGTAGTTATGTATTAGGAAAAAAACATGCCACATGGATTTTAGATTATTATATGCTCTATGAATTGATTATGAGAATCAAATTCAATCTATCTTTTAACAAGCGGTGGAAGAAATATTCTAAATTCTCAAGGAATGACTGAAAAGTATTCTATGTCTAAAGTTAATCAAATATCATATAGTAATTGTCAAATTGTCAAATGAGTCTTTTCTGACACAGTTAATGTGCTGAAAAATTCATTGAATGTGTTGCAAATTTTGCACTTCATCATTTTTTTAGATAAATAATTTCTGCAATAGTTAGGCACATGCATGCATGCACAGTGGCTTAACTGCAACTAATAAAAAACAAGTTAGTCATCATCATAGAGATAGAGGAGATGAATTGTAATGATTTTGTGAGTATCTTCGAATCTATATCATAATAACACATTTGAATGGATGTCATTTTCAGTTTATTATATGTACTTAAAGAGCTTGAAGGTTGAATTTTATGCCTATTTATTTGAAGAATCTTTTAGGGTATTGTTTGACATAGTAATTGAATGTAGAAATGTATTTTTGGTATAGTTTTGTAGCATATATATTAGAATTTTAAAAGTGTGTTGAGTTATAGATAAATTTTAGAGAAAATAGGGATAAATATGTTCTTTTGTCGTATGATAATATAATCCAATATTTTGATTCCAATTTAAAAAATTTTATGTTTGGGATTAAATATTGTTTGAAAAGAATTATCTCAAATAAAAGGTTTGTAGTGAAATTCTAAGTCTAAGAAGGTTAATGATTGATGATTAATAGGACCTTGGAAGAGTAACTTTCTTGTGTGGGATTCCACAAGAAGCTCATGAAGGAGTGGTGAAGTAAAGGAAGTAGGAGCATACATATTTTTAGCTGAAGAAGTTGATGAGTTAGTTCTTTAGAACATGATAAGGGATTATATATAGGGCAGTTATATAATAAGGTAGAACTGATATGGAATCTGGCTTTAATTAAAGTGGTATGTAATCGTAAATGTTACTAACTAGGGGAGAAAATTAATAATAATAATAATAATAATAATAATAATAATAATAATAATAATAATAACTTTACAATAAAACCAACAACAAACTGCAAGAATACAACTAGATCAAATCTTTTGAGGATGTCTTATCATGTTGAAGCTGCCAGCATGATCTGAGTTCTTCAATGGGGAGAGACAAATCTTATCTGTGTTCTTCAATGCAACCAGCAACAGCTCGATTGCAAGCTTTGGAAGGATTGGATTATTTGGTAATCAAGTTCATGTAGTCAATATTCCAGTGTTTGTCATTGTTAAAATCTCGCTATGAGATAATTAGAATGGTTAGTGCAAATTAGCTAGATATAACTACATATTTGTTAAATACACCAAAATGCTACACAACTGGCAAGGGTGGAAAAGCTTGTATGTGTACCATATGAGACTTTTTTTTCTCTAAATTTGCACAGAGCACTCAAATTCTCAGAAACCACCTTTATTGTATTAAAAATATCAATTTTTACCATATATCATAATAAGAGTATTTATTTGGTCTATTATACACTATTTCCCTATAAAAGCTCACAAGGTTTCTGCTAAAGTTCTAAGACATTTTTCTTTGATTCCAAGATTGAAAAGACTTTTCCTCTGAATATTTATATTTACTAGAATAATGGGCTTTCAGGTTGCTGCTCTCTTCCATATAGGGACAACTAAGTCTCATCCACCTATCCCTGATCATCTCTCTGCTGGAGCAAAAGATTTTCTTCTAAAGTGCTTGCAGAAGTATGCTCCTTTTGATTTTCTGCTGCTTTCCATTTATAATGAATGAATATTTGCAGGATAATTGATCATACTGAATGATTTTTTAGGGAACCAATCTTGAGGCTATCAGCATCATAACTGCTTCAGGTGATTCTATGAGCATTTCTCTTTTGATTCTGCAAATGAGCATTGTAGTCATTTTAGTGCTGCTATTGATTAATAGTGGAGCTACTGGAGTCTACTTTGTTATTGTTTTGCACAAGATAATCAACTTCGCCCTGAGATTAACTTTCAGTTTATAATTGGTTGTAGCACCCCTTTGTAACGGGTGAAAATACAGATTCGAATCCTCAGTCATCTATTGACATGGTATGTATAAATCAAGTATTTTTTGAAATGCTGTTATGTGTATATTTTTTAATTATTAAGTTAAAATTTGATTTTTATGACATTAATTTCACTTCTAACAGGGATACTTTAGAGCTTATTCACCATCATGTGCTCCAAATGTTGAATCCTTGTAAGTGTTGAAATTTTTGCTTCAATTTGTAAGGTCTGACAGTTTTTTATGTTGCACATGTAAAGAAGCTGTTTTTTTTCCTCCCGTACATCATTTGTTGATTCTAGCGAAACGGTTAAATTATTCTGGTTAACAGATGTTTGTTATTATGTAGACTTTGCAGGTCAACAGCAAATCCTGAGGACTCAGGAAATAATCAATTATGGGGAATGAGAAATGATGATGATGATGATGATGATGATGATATGTGTGTGATTGATGATAAAGAAGAGTTCTCTGTGTGTGATGTCAAACACAAATATTTTGTGCCATATAACTTTGAGGTTCTTGCATTCAAGTTCTTGTTTTATTTAATATGTAAGTAATGAAAGTAATTCCTGAAAAAACTTAATCTTTTCATTGTAGAGTTTCAACCCAATGTCTGATCCCTCTGAAGACTGGGGGTGTAAATTTGATGCAACTCCAGAACTGGAAAATAGAGAAGTTAGTTTGGACACTGATGAAAGTTATAAGTCACGTACTCAATTGCTACTTATCACTTTGTTTAATGCTCCTGTATTACAGGTGTTTGGGTCTCCGAATGATGCTGAGAAGTTAGAGTTTTTATTCTACAACTAGGTCAAACGACATAAGTGAAAAAGAAAGATTACCAGAAATTCAACATGAGATCTGATGGGTTACTAGAGCCATACAAAGAGCTACTTATGTATTGTGAGGAGAATTTACATAAACACTAATATGAAAACTGATCTATAGAATAGATGAAAGAGTCTATATTTATGTTTTACATGTACATATTAAGGGTTTATTTTTCCCCACAAAAATAGTGTAGTGGTCAGCATTTTCATCTGTATAACTGTATATTAAATTAACAAAAGGGAAATCAATATTTCCATCATTTTTGTCTCTTACATTGTGTAATTGTTAATTCCAATATGCTTATGATAAATATAATCTTACAATTTTCACTAGTTTGAAATTTGCATTGTTTTTTCTTACTAATTTGGTCGGACAAGTGATTATTAATAATTTAATTGCGACATTTTCTTGCGACTATTTTCTGCAATTATTTCCTGCGACTTTACCTGCTAAACTGCGAAAATTTTGTCAAAATTCGCAGGAAAACTGAGTTTTTCTAATAGTGACACTTACTAATTGTAATCGCATTAGGCAACACTTGAAAAGTGTTATCTTAGAGGCCACGAATAACCGTCCCCTATTCTTGTTGTGGCAACACTTAAAAAGCGTCGCCTCAGAGGCCATGAATAATCGTCTCCTATTCCTTTTGTGGCAACACTTAAAAAGTGTCACCTCAGAGGCCACAAATAATCGTCCCCTATTCCTTTTATTTAGGCAACATTTTTAAAAATCGTGCCCAAAGATCATGAAAAAATGTCCCCTTAGACAATAGGCAACGCTCACACAGGAGACACCTAGAAAATGTCCCATATTGTTTTAGGCAACGTTTTTCAGAGTTTTGGCATCGTTTTCAGTGGTTGCTGGAGAGCCTAAATGTTGTAGTGTAATCGGATCCCTCTAGAGCTCTTTATCATGTTTGTTGAGTGGTGAGCCGACATTGGATTAATTTTCATGTTCGAGGTGTTTCGAGTAAAGTTTATCGCCTTTGAATCGATAAGATTTTGCACAATGTATTTCAGAGTCTTGCAATTTTCAATGTTATGGCCTGGGGCTCCAGAATGGAATTCACATTTTGCATTGATGTCATAGCCAAAAGGGAGAACCTCCGGAGGATCCCTCATTTCCCTAAGTGGAACAAGACCTCCTTTCAACAAGAATGGTAGTAATCTGGCGTATGTTGACAGAATTGGATCGAGCCTTCTTTTTGGTCTTCTCGGTCTCTGCTGACCCTGGTACTAATTTTGTCTTGGTTGATAGAATTGTTGTTGTCGGTTCTGCTGAGCTGCAGGATGACTTGCTGGAATGGACAACGATTGTTAGGGAACAACGACAGCAACATGGTGATAACCTTGATGGATTCTCCATCTGTCTGTGGACACAACACTAATTTCGCCTTCTTTCTTCTTAACGAAACCCTGATATGGCTTCTTGACCTGACTTGAGGATCCGCCAGCATTCTGAATCTTTCCTGACTTCATTAAACTCTCTAGTCTTTCTCCAGCCATGACAAGTTCAGAAAACACTGTAGAGGTTGTAGACGTCAGACGCTCAAGGATCGGCCCTTGCAGCGTGCCCATGAAGAGGTCTGTAAGCTCCCTATCCATCACAGGGGTTGTACTCTTGCGGCTAGTCCTCTCCATTTCTGTGCAAAGTCTTTAAAAGACTCGTTCGGTTTCTGGGTCAGATTCTGGAGTTGCATCCGATTCGGAGCCATGTCAGTGTTGTATTGGTAATGTTTCACGAAAGCATCTACTAACTCTTTCCAGCTTTTCACATTGGACCGCTCGAGCTTCTCGTCATCGGATAATGCGGCCATCTTCCTGCAGTAAGACCTTATATGGGTCTTGGGACAACTGTTACCCTTGTATTTCTCAAAAGTCGCGATAATAAACTTCGGAGGTATCTTAACCCCTGGAACAATACATATTTTTGCGGCATCTAATCCCAAAACGTCAGGGCCTTGCATTGCCCTCACCACTTCTTGTAAGGCATTTAACTTCTTTTCTAATTCAGCATTTTGTGGTACATACGCTTCAGCCGAATCTTCGTAGAATCCTTCATGATCATCATAGTGGGCTGGTGGTAGGATCGTAACAGCGGGAGGATGGACTGTACTAATAGGTTCCACGCCTACGGGAGTAGGAATTGCACCAGCAAGGGTTGGAGTAGCACTGGTAGGGATTGGAACAACATCGGTAGGGATTGGAATTGCACCGATAGGGATTGGAATTGCACCAGCAAGGATTGGAATTGCGTCACCTGCATTGGGAACCACGCTAGTCAGGGTTTGATTAGCATTCCTCTCCGCTGCCAACCTCATCTCCTCTTGATTTCTGGCCATGTTCTGGATCACCTCCATGAGTTGATTCATCTGCGTCTTCATACCTTGCATTTCTTCCCTCATAGCAGCCTGATTTTGCTCTAGCTGATCCATGACTCTTTTCTGATTATTCCTTATATTGTACGGATGTCGGGAAGTCAGCTTGCTTTACTGCGAAAGGGTAAATGACGTGTAAGGTTGGGTTTCAGGGAATGCAAAAATGATGCGCAAGCGTATGCAATGTTCAAGAGACTTTCGAGACTTATGATTATCATTGGTGTCGCATCACTGCGAAGAGGGGCCGACAAGGATAGAAGAGTCACCACCGTTCTTTTATTTATCCCAAAAGAGGGAAAGGAAACGATCAGAGAAAAACATAACGAAAAGGGAGAAGACAGGTCATCGCAACCATATCTCGGGTTCGGGAGTCGGTTACGCAAGGGGAAGGTGTTAGCACCCCTCACGTTCGTCGTACTCGACGGGATCCACACTGTGTTGTCTATCTAAAAGGGTGTTTACTACCTAAGCTACGGCTCAGGGACAAAAGAAAAGAAAAGAGACTCGATAGAGCATCGTCGCTCTATGCCTACGTATTCCCTCGTGCAATGGGAAAGTCAGAGTCAACGTAGTTCGACTAACTACGGGTGAAGGTGGGGAAAGTTGCTCGCCAAGACATCACCGTCATGTGCCTACGTATTCTCATCTGGTATGAGAAATCAGAGCAAACGTAGTTCAGGCTAACAAGAACACCGGTTGGTTCAAAATGTTTTCGGCCCGAGTAGAGTTAAAACTTAGTTCTAGCAGTTAGGTGTATGCAGCTAGACCATTGGAGACTTAGGCGTTACCTGTTTGCGGTAGAACCAAGAGTTAACAAAACTCTCCTTATGAAAAAAGGTTTTCCAAATTAAATCCCAAAGGATAGAAAGATCTGAAGTTTTTTTTTGTGTTTTTTAGAGAAGAAGTGCGTTGATTATTGTTTGTAATTCATGTTGCACTAAAGGCTATGACTTAGGAGCGAATGCGTCGCATATCGTCTAAAGGACATACGCCAAACACTCTAGATAATACAGAGGAGGCCCCCTAATCACCATTTCCCAAGTACTTAAGGCTCGTAACGTATAACAATCCTTAACCTTTATTAAGTGTTTTGAAAGTGTTTTGAGATGAGAAGAGAAAGACACTCTAAAGGGAGACTAGGACTCAACCTAATGTTCTAATACGAAGTGCACCTATGATTGGGGTGAAAGGGAATGCTACCTAATGTCATCATGCATGGGTTCAAGCCTAATGTCTATCATAATCTCAAGAGATTAGAGATCCTAAGGGAACATGGCAAAGAAGAAAGAAGAAGAAGAAGGAAGCATGAAATAAGAAAGATGCAAGTATGCAAACATGCACAATTAGAATGAAAGTGAGGGAGGAAAAAAGTGTGGGGCAGTAGCCTCCACAAGCACATCTCAACCTCAAGCATGCATATGAGAGATGCAAGGAAGAAGGGAGAAAGAATGCATGCAAAAGCAATCAAACCAGCACACAAAAGTGGGATGAAATGGGAGAATAAATCCTACAACCATTTGTCATCAACCACAAGCCCTAAGGCAAACCAAAAAGAAAGAGAAGAAGCCATGATCAAATGAGAGAATGGGAGTCAATGTGAGGACAGCAAGGAGCTCTCATGGGCAACTCAACCATAAGCCATCTCAAGGATTACGCAAGAACACAACAAAAGAATCCTCAAAGAATCACCATTTATGATATGCTTCAAGTACCTCCAAAGGAGGGACTAAGCCATCTTAAATGGGATTCTAACACTACAACATTTTGAATATACAGCAACACAAAAAAACCGTTGCAAAATCCAAAAAACCCGTTGCCTTTACATATGAGAACGGTTTTCAGGGCGTTCTAAACCAAGGCGTTGTTTTAGCCTTTAGGAACGGTTATTTAACCAACGGCAACGCCTTGTTCAGAGCCGTTGCTGTAATTTTATATAGAGAACGACCTAGAATAGCAACGGCTTCCAGCCGTTTTCAAATGTAAACCGTTGCAATTGTTGTTTATTAGAGAACTGCTATTTTATGGAATATAGCAACAGTTCTTAACCGTAGCCTATTCTAAACCGTTCTAATAGAAGCTTAAGTTCAATTTTTCTTCATAGGTTATAGCAACGCCTTCTTTACTATAGACACACTTTGTAACTGTTGCAAAAAAATTTATTTTATTTTATAAACCAAATAAGTTTATTTATTTTTTAATAAAATAAATTTTTATTTTATTTTATAAACCTGATAATAACATCATTCACAATTTTTTTATATAATAATATTTAAATACAAAACATCTTCAAATTGAAAATGATCCAACAACAAAACATCTTCAAATTACATATCGTAATGTCAACAAAACATCTTCAAATTACATATCGATCCCAATGTCAATCATATTCATTCATAGTCAAAATAACATCTTCAATCTATAAAATTAAACTTAAAGATCTACATCTACATTTCTTCATCTTCAAATTCAAAATCTTCATTGATATTATCATTCATGACCTGCAAAATAAAAATAATATAACTTAAATAAGATTATTATTCGAAGGATCAAAAATAAAATAATCCACTCCAAGTAAATAATCCACATATATAAAATCTCTTAA